CAGAAAGAGGATCCAATTCTGTATTTATGACGCTTAAACCCGTATTGCAGGAGGGAAAAATCTTATATACGTTATAGAAAGAGGATTCGATTCTTATTTTGGCTATAAAAGATATAATAAAACAAAATCGCATCACAATAAACGATAGAATATGTTCCTACTATATAGTATATAAACTCTAAAGTAAAACAAAATAGCAGCGTTTTAAATGGTCAGCAAGTCATTTTATTATTTTAGAAAGGGATTCGATTCTTATTTTGGCTATAAACGATAGAATTAAACAAAATCGCACACAAAACCCTAGAATTACAATATCGTCGTAAAAAAGAGAATCTAATTATATTTGCAAAGTTAACACAAATAAAACATCTTCTACGCTAAAAAACAAACAAAGAAGGTGTTTTTTAGCCAGGCAAACAGATTAAAACATAAAACACACAATTACACACCCTCTTCCTCACACAACAAAGGCGGTGTTTTTATCCAGACAAACAAATCAAAACTGCAAAACAAACACACACGACTGAACACCCTCTCCCTAAAACCAAACTTTGGCAGCGACAAAGCTCATTAAATCACGCATATGTTTTAATTCTCCATAAAATCATGACAATAAACACCACAAGGTAATAAGACACGAGAGGACTGTTTTTTTTAATGGCATGGGATTGGATCGTGTTATGTAGGTCTTTAGTTGGCTATAAACGCCATAATAAAAAAAAAATCGCATCTGAGTAATGGTATTTAATAGTATAGACGTCACAACAATAACACAATCGCATCTGAATAAAGTGTTTGAGTGTATAAACGTCAGAACAATAACAAAATCTCATCTGTATAAGTGAAATAAGTCTTCTAAATCGGTATAAACGTCAGAACAATAACAAAATCGCATCTGTATAAGTGAAATAAAGTCACAAAACACTATAGACGCCATAACATCTACAAAATCGTGACTTAATAAAGGGATTGAAGTTTATAAATGCCATGATAAAAAGCAAAATCGTATCTGTATAAGTGAAATAAGTCTTGTAAATCAGTATAAACGTCAGAACAGCAACAAAATCGCATCCAACTAAAGGGTTTAGATATTATAGACAAACACGAGCTTAACTCTAACTTAATTTAACCTAACCTAACCAACCCTCCACTCTCCCCCCCCCCCACAACCTTATCTCCGCTCCTGTATAGACGACACAAATAACAGCATAGGATCCAACCCTCTATTATTATTCTCTCTAGTTGATGGACGATAATGTCAGGTTGGCATGAGAATAGTGGGATCCAATTCCGCTCTCGCTATAGACGCCAGAAGAGAGGCAAAAACGTATTGGAAAATATGATCCCATCTTGATGATTTGATCCTAGTCTAGATGTTAACTGGGATCCAATACTACTCCCGTTATAGACGCCAGAAAGACAAAAATAGCGTCGTTTTATAGGGGATTCAATGCCATTCTCGCTATAAATGCCGGAATATTGACAAACTAACATCGTAATACCTTTCTCGCTATAGATAGAAGAATATAAACAAAATCCTATCGTTCTGTAAGGGATCCAATACTACTCCTGTTATAGACGCCAGAAGAGAAACAAAATAGCATCGTAATATAAAGGATTCAGTACCATTCTCGCTATAGATGCCAGAATATAAACAAAATCCTATCGTTCTATAAGGGATCCAATACTACTCCTGCTATAGATGACTGAATGATCGTATGTATAGACGCCAGAACATTACAACAAACAACATCGATTTACAAACATATATAATAACTTTCCTAACCTAACCTAACCTCTCCCAAACAATAGACGATCGGATCTCCCCTAGACGGGTTCCTGGAAGCGATCCAACACTATGTAAAAGAGACTCCCCCACCCCCTCTTTTTCCGATTGTCTTTTGTTTATTAAGGCAGATATATTCACTTATACTCTCTGTCTTGTGGAGATAAATTTATGAAAGAAGTTTATTTATTTCGTTTGTTCTGTCTTAGTCTGTCTGTGTCTGTCTGTGTCTGTCTGTGTCTGTCTGTTTGTGTTTGTTAGTCTGTCTGTCTGTCTGTCTGTGTTTGTTAGTCTGTCTGTCTGTCTGTCTGTGTTTGTTAGTCTGTCTGTCTGTCTGTCTGTGTTTGTTAGTCTGTCTGTCTGTCTGTCTGTGCTTGTTAGTCTGTCTGTCTTCTCTCTTCTTTCTCTCTCTCTCTCACCATCTCTTCTCAATAATCACAGCGTTAATAGCTTCCCCACTCTCGTTCAGCTATAAAGAGGAAAGCTATGAGTCAGTTTAGCTGTTAGAAAGAGAGAGAGAGAGAGAGAGAGAGAGAGAGAGAGAGACTGATTGAAGAAGACAACAACAACAACCACCACCACCACCACCCACAAGAGATACACAAGACTTAACGAGGCAGTTCAACCCTAACAAGCAGTAGTAAAAAAGAAACAAGGGAATAAGCAAACTACCCAACGATCGTTTAGCTGTAATTGCTGGCTGTTAAGATGGTAGTTAGCAGGCAGTGGTGTTTGTAAAGCTCTGAACGAAAACTTTTGGTGTGAGCGAAATGATGTGGGATTTTGGGAGGATTTTATTATTGTCTGAATGTTTCGTTGTTTTCTTTATGTATCGTTTTTGTTGTGTGTTTTTAGGATTTGGTGTGTGTGTGTGTGTGTGTGTGTGTGTGTGTGTGTGTGTGTGTGTGTGTGTGAGAAAGGTTTAAAGAGAGAGCTTGTGTGTTTATGTATGTAATAATAATAACAAAAATAATAATAATAATAATAATAATAATAATAATAATAATAATAATAATAATAATAATAATAACAATAATAATAATAATTTACGGGTCATTTAAAGAGCATGACATAATTGGTGGTCTCTTGATTTACAAATAATATACAAGTAACATAAGTGATACAAATATGATATATAATAACTAGGTGGGAGAAGGTCATACTACAGGGCATTTCAACATAGTGACAGTGCAAGAAGGCAAGATTTTTACAATGGTTGGGACTGGGCTGTTCTTATAGCGATCAGTTCGTGCTCGTATGGGCTGGATGCGGTTGTGGTGTCGAACAGCAATTCTCGGGCGAGGGATCTCAGGTGGTAGTAGGAGGGTGTCGAGGATGGTGTAGAAGCTTCTTACCAAATTTGAGGTCGTGGTGATGGTCAGTGAGAGCCGTGAGGGTCAGTGTGTTGTGTATGTATGTATGTATGTATGTATGTATGTATGTATGTATGTATGTATGTATGTATGTATGTATGTATGTATGTATGTACCAATCTTATATGTACAGTATAGCTCATGCACATACATACACACATACATCTTTGTGTGGTAGCTTAAGTGAGTCAGTTAGATACGTTCTCACATCACCAGTTAGGAGGAAAACTTAACGTAGGAACCTTTGAGAATCCATCTTTGTGTGGTAGCTTAAGTGAGTCAGTTAGATACGTTCTCACATCACCAGTTAGGAGGAAAACTTAACGTAGAACCTTGAGAATCCATCTTTGTGTGGTAGCTTATGAGTCAGTTAGATACGTTCTCACATCACCAGTTAGGAGGAAAATTTAACGTAGGAACCTTTGAGAATCCATCTATGTGTGGTAGCTAAGTGAAGTCAGTTGATACGTTTTCACATCACCAGTTAGGAGAAAACTTAACGTAGGAACCTGAGAATCCATCTTGTGTGGTAGCTTAGGAGTCAGTTAGATACGTTCTCACATCACCAGTTAGGAGAGAAAACCCTTTTGAGAATCCATCTTTGTGTGGTAGCTTAAGTGGAGTCAGTTAGATACGTTCTCACATCACCAGTTAGGGAAAACTTAACGTAGGAACCTTTAGAATCGAGACGAAAGAAATTAAGGTTGGTTTTAAGAAGAGGTGTTCGACGGAAATTGAGAAATATGATGAATTTGTTGATAAGAGTGACGAAACGACAGTAGATGTCATGGTGTGAGTCTCTCTCTTCAGGTATCTAATCACTACCTGTAATAAGGTAAGATAAAGGTCATTTACCTCCTAATGACTTTATAAATTAATTATTATTTTTTAATAATTTTTCAATTATTTTTGTATAGGTAAATTATCATAGTAATTATGTAAGTGTTCGTTTGACTGTCTTGTGTCTGTGTGTGTGTATGTATGTATGTATGTATTGGTGTGACTGTTTTTATGTATGTATGTATGTATGTATGTATGTGTACACAGGTAGCAGGATGCACATAAACACAGGTGTACATAGCATGTGTACATTTAAGGTGTACATATGACGTACAGTACATTACAATACTTTTA